ATTCTGTACAAAGTCTTACCAACCTAAGACAGAAGTGCATTACTTTAGATAATGCATATTCCATGACAGGTAAGGAAGGCACTCTTGTCAGAATGACCTAAGACAGGCTAAGCCTTGTTTATGAAATAAAAAAGGGGAAATATGGAGAGTTTTGGGAGCTTCTTGACAGGAATCTGACATGGACCAAGGACAAAGAAATGGGCTGCTTGGCAGGAATATGACATTGGCCAAGGACAAGGAAGTAGGCTTCAGGCAGGAATCTGACAGGCTAGAACAAAGATCTGACATTAGGCTAGAACAAAGAAATAATTCTAGGCAGGAATCTAAATATCAGGCTAGAACAAAGAAGTAATTTCAGACAGGAATCTAAATTTTAGGTTATAACAAGGAAGTAGGCTTCAGAAATGAAAATGACTTTGGGCTAGGACAGGGAAATAAGCTCAGATACTTTGGTTATCCTGATAAACCCTTAGAAACAGTGATCACGGGAGTGTTCAAGCAATTGGGTTTAATGCCCTGCTTTTTCTTTGACTATTTGTGTTTATTGTCTTGCTTGTTCCTGGACTATTTGCATCTATTGTATTGTTAGCTCCTCAACCTAGAACTGACCTTAATACATGCACATAATTAAAATGGTATAAAAGCAAAAAGGAGGAGGAGGGATGGGATAGGGGGTTCTAGGGAGGGAAAATGGGCAAAGGGGATGACATCTGTATTGTAAATAGATAAAATATCCAATAAAAAGTTTAAAAAAAAAAGGAAGATAAAGAAGCTGCTAAACACCATGTGACATACGGGGAGGTCCAACAATTACTCAACCCCAGACATCAGTGGTGCCAAGTGTCTTGTGACAACATGCACTGTTGTTACCCAGTTACTGTACAGATCATCTCTTTGTAAGTACGACTCCTATACATGATCATGAGTTTCTGACTTACAAGAGGGGACTCTGAGCTCATGAGTTCTTAAGTCTTTTTGAAAAAAAAAATTGGTCATTAGTTTTTCAAGTATTTTATACACCGTTAACTTTATCTCCTCCACTGATATGTACTTCTAGCTGCTCCGTCTGTTCCTGGGGCTCCAAAGAGCCTGCTCACTGGTTTCCAATCTCTCCTCTGCCTGATGCTTCATTGGTGGTGAATCTTTTCTTCCTGTTTTTCCAGTCCCATGTTGTGCCCATCTAATGTAGTCTTTAATATCACAAAACAACTGCTAGGCAGTGGTGGTGCCTGCCTTTACTCCTAGCACTGGAGAGGCAGGGCCAGGTAGGTTTGAGTTTGAAGCCATCCAGGTCTACAGAGTGAGTTCTAAGACAGCCAGAGCTACACAGAGCAACCCTGTCTTGAACAAAACAACCAACCAACCAAAAAGAGAGAAAGAAAAAAAATACCAAACAACTCCTGTCAGTTCTAGAATTATTCAGTTCTTTTAAAATGTGTATCTCTCTGAGATCCCCTATGTGTCCATTATGTCTTTATATTGTTTTCCATTTATGTTTTACTGTCACTGTTTGCTGATACCAACACCTGGGCATTGCAGCTCTCTTTTGTGTAATGTTTTATGTCTGCTGGTACTTTGCCTACATGTATGTCTCTGCACCCCATGTGTGCCTGGAGCCCATGGAGGCCAGAAAAAGGTGTTGGATCCCAGGCCCTGGAGTTAATAGATAGGTATGTGAGCTGCCACGTGGGTTCCGAGAATCAAACCCAGGTCCTCTAGAAGAACAGCCAGTGCTCTTAACTGTTGAGCCATCGCTTCAGCCCCAACTTCATAGTTGATTTTTAATTACCGGATGCTGAGAATGAGAAATGGAAAAAGTACAGACTCCATTATCTTCTTCTGACAAGGACATTCTGTTCTAGAGCAGTGGTTCTCAACTTTCCCAATGCTCAGCCCTTTAACAGTTCCTCATGTTATGGTGAAGCCAACCATGAAAACTTTTTGTTGTTAATTCATAAGTGTAATTTTGCTACTGTTACGAATTATAATATAAACATCTATGTTTTCTGATGGTCTTAGGGGACCTCTATGAAAGGGTCATTTGAGCCCCCAAAGAAGTCATGACCCATAGGATGAGAAAGTTCAAACTCCAGGTCTCTCCTCTATGCTGGGCTTCACTGACTCTCAAGCTGTGGTTCTGGCATCTCCCTCACAGAAGTGGTTCACTGCTCAGCCAACTGTGTTAGTCCAGAGCTTCATAGTGACTCTGGGGCTCCTACACATGTGGTTCCCTCTGTTCCAGAACCTCTCCCTTTACAAGGTCACAAAACATCTTTAGGCTTACTCTGTGAATTCCCAGGCCATAAGACTGCAGATTTTGCATAGAGTCGAGCAAAGAGCCCCAGAGACATGACTGTAATCCAGGGAATTCGCCTTATCAGGACCTGACACCCTCCAGTTTTTAACTGAAGTATTTAACACTTTCAAATAGCAGCAACTTTTTCATATCTAGTTCAGATTCTATCAGGGGTTTTTGCAAATAACTTCCTCATCATTAGAAACAACAAATACTGAACCCTTAAATGGATAGCTTTACTTCAAAGAGAAAGCGTGTCATCTACATCTGACACAACCATCTGTCCCAATCCTAATGCACAAGAGCTTCTGGGAGCTACTACTGCAGCAGCATAAACCCTGCAGTCTGAGAAATCACTTACGAACCATAGAGATGGGAAGGGTTAATTACACCTTTGGCTCTTCCACCTGCACCATGAAGGGACAGTTTAAAGCTTGCCGGTGTGGTAGTAAGACAGAACGTTCACATTGTCTGACATATGCAAGATCGGAAGGACAATCTCAGCGCTGTTCAAGAACTGAGTTGGGATACAGCTCAAGAGTAGCATCCTTGGCTAACACGAGCAGAGCTTTTGACTCAATCCCTTGGTGATGGTGATAAGTGCTTATGCTGTGTGCTAGTTAGTTTTTATCTTCAACTTGACACGGGCTCAGTTACCAAGGAAGAAGGAACCTCAACTGAGTAGCTGACTAGATCAGACTGGCCTGTGGCCAAGTCTGTAAGAGATTGTCTTGACTAATGATTAATGAGGGAGTGCCCAGTATGCTGTGGATGGTGAACTACTCAGACTATCTATATGTATACACACATGCACACATATACATGAGTATATCCATATTCATACGTATATGTATATGTGTGTGTGTGTATATATATATATATATATATATATTTGTAGACAGACAGATAGATATACAGACAGTCAGATATATATAGATGAACAAGTCAGAAAGTGAACACCATTCCTTCACAGTTTCTGCCACCAGGATTCCTCTGTCCTGACTTCCCTCAATAATGGATTCTAATCTGGAAAAGCTGAGGCAGAAAGACTCTTTTCCAAGTTGCTTGTGGCATGGTGTTTATCACAGTAACAGAAAAAAAAAAAGCAAACTAGAATACATCGCAAAGGAAGTGGCAAGTGTTCAAAGTACAGAGATGCAAGGGTCTATCTCAGAACCCGCCCACAGGTGAGCAGCCGTCTGCACAGGCCCCACAAGTGTCAGCGTATTCATCACGATCTAAGAACCGGGTCTGCAACAGCAAAGGAAACCAACTTCAAAGGTCATGTTCAAAATGAAACATTTAGGACAAAAAGGAACTTTGAGGCTTAAAATACAGATTTCATAAACTCTTAAAAATAAATTGTTTCTCCTGCTTTGAAAAGTAAACTTTGTTCACCATGAAGAGAGAAAAATGGACCTATATAGGACTAAACCATGTAAGTATTATTTTTACAATGGATTATGAAGATTATATCATGTCTTTATGCATTACTTTATATCACTTCAAATATCCAAGTTGTATTTACTGGTAAAGATGACATAATCTGCTTGCTCATAATTGAACCTTTTTGTTGTTTCTGGTCTTCACAACTACATAGAATTCATAAGCGATTTCATTTATCTCCAATACTTTAACTTTTGTCCCTTACATACAATCAACGAACAGTGAGCTTATCTATGTCATCACGGAATACATTAACAAAACTGGAACCTCAGGAAAGAGAATGGCTTCCTCATGACATCAGCTCTCTCTCTAAACTAACCACATAACTCATCTTCTGAACATAATTTAGAGTACTTCTCCATGTTCATGGGTTCTATAACTATACATTAAACCGACTGCATGCTGGAAAGAGTTGAAGATCTCTGCTCTTGTATTTTTTTGTTATTATTTGCTAAACAACACAGTGTATTACAGAGCGTTTCCACCACACCAGCTATTATAAGTAATCTAAAGAGGTTTGAAGAAGGAAGGATTTTCCCAGAAAGGCTCCACACACAACACCATACAGGTAAGATCTGACCATCATGGAGCCCTGGAACAAACCTCCTCTAGATCCTAAGGGCTGGCTCTTCTTTTAGGCTATGACTTTGGTATACAGCTGGGCATGGTGGTGCACACACACACACACAAACCAGCACTTGGGAGTCTGAGGCACTGTGATTTTAAGGCCAGCCTCGTTTATCTAGTGAGACTGTCCCCCAAAATCAAACACCCCACTAAAATTAGTATAGGGATACCTGTAAATGTGAACACTTTCTACATCTCTTAAACAACGATCAGGAATGGAAGGTTTTTCCTTGGATTTCTAGGGTTTGCACTCATGTAATACAGAGGGCAGCAGAATTCTCAGGAAAGAGTCAGGAAGTTAAATATTTAACTCTGTAAGTCATGTAGGTCTATTGCATTGGGTATGACAGCACTATGGAAAATACATAGATGAATGGATATGGCTATGTGCAACCAAAAAGATGGTAGGAGGATACCATCTGAGGACCACTAGTAAAGCCATAAATGGTAAGTATTTGGTGTAAAAAAAATGTTAAAACAATTTCTTGAACCTACTCCCAAATTTCAAATGAGAGAGATCATTCTGTGTGTTCTCAACAAATAAAGCTGTCACGATCTAACATGATTGGTGGCCTCAGTGTAGAGCTGGACCAGTTTCTCCCCGTACTGTCCTGACCCACGCATCGTTTACCTGGGCAAAATCCTCAAACGATGGAGAATAGGCAATGCATTTCTCCAGTGCATGCTGGGACTCACTTCCCTGAGAGATTGCATCCAGAATGTTGCTCGCAATTCCAGTCTTCGGTGGTGTGCCTTTACCTGCAGTGGCTAAAGGTGAAAGCAAGACCATTCGGTGACTTGTTAAATTACAAACAGGACAAAACACATTAACTCAGCCTGTTTCAAATACATTGCCAACATGTATTTGTATTTATTTTCTCTGGGAGGAATTACATATCATTTCATTCATTTCAGCAACTGAAAATGGAAGCTTGCCATAAAATAATTATGATAGAAATTTATCATATATGTTTATTATATATGAAAGAATATAAATATATAATAATATAGATATTCCATTCTTTTCCTGTACTGAAAACTGAAACCAGAGCTTCAAGAATGCTAGTCGGGCATTCTACCACTAAACTATATGCCCCATAGACTCTCCACAGCAGTGCTTCTCACCCTTCCTAATGCGACCCTTCAATACACGTCGTGGTGACCCCCAACCATAAAATTATTTCATTGCTACTTCATAACTGTAATTTTTCTACTGTTATGAAGTATAGTATAAATATCTGATAAGCGACCTCCAAATAGGTCACAACCCACAGGCTGAGAACCACTGTTCTACAATGAAGGCACATACAATGCAAATTAAACACCCTTATTGAGGCAACAGTTGTCAACCAGTTTTTAGGTGAGATCAGTATGCTCCAGATACACCAGAAGAATACTTAACTTTTTCTTCGCTTTAGAAAAATTATAAATTAATACTCAAGGGAATACTTTGTAAAATGCCAAAAATGTATATTAAAAACTAGACTCATCATTATGCATTACAGCTTCCCCAGGTTTCCACTACATGTTTACACATGGCGTGTAAGATCAGAGCTTTAATAACACCTGCAGTCACGTGACACTCACTTTTACTTTTTCCGTTTAAAATTCAGCTTCAGAGACTACATCATAAATGAGTGATATTGACAACTCCTCTCTCCTTTTTAAATGTCAGTGTTCCACTCTGTGTATCCAGCCTCCCCTCTACTGGACAGCATTAATGTGCTCTGCAGTTTTTCATTACTGTTTTTGAGTAAGGTAACTCATGCCAACTGAAGGCCTGCTAGATTCCATTTCTGCTGACTGGAGTTATATATCTAGGGTATCTGGATGCATTGGTTAGCTCACGGAGTGGCTTTAATCCCCAGTTTAGAATGATTCTACCACACACACTGTAAATGACTGCAGTGCTTCCAACAATTCACTGTCTTCATTATTTTCAATTGTGACTTGATGATGATTGAAAAAAATTATTTTGCCCTTAATAAAAATATTTAAAGGTTTTAAAAGTCTTTTAATTTTCAGTCTTTTCAAATAATCGGCTTATTATTAAAGAAAAATAAGGACGTAATCTAGGGTTTAGTTTTGTCATGAGGCATCATGACCTTCAACTAAGTTAGGATGAAAGTAAAAGTCATTACAGAGCGTCTTCAGGGGAATCTCATGGCCGACGCAGGCAGTCCTCACTTACACAGGCACACACTGGGTAACACACTTGCCAGATTCAAATACGGATTTTTACTGAGCCGGATTTCTTTTGGTGGTTCTCCCAAGAGTGAAGTCTGATTCTTAGAGGCAGCCTATCACCAAAAACAAAAGATGGGGTGCTCTGTGAGCAGGTAAGAGAAAGGAATGAGGAGGGTCAGGGTACATCACATACACACATGGAAATGTCATGACAAAATCTTTCATTTTGTAAAATCAATCTGTGTTTACTTAAAATATTTACTACAGTTAAAAATGCAGAAAATTTTATTTTTCAATGTATCTTGTATGGTGTGATCATCTGTGGGCCCTGCTGGGTGCGGTGGTGCAGGTTTCAAGATTCAGAGGCAGGTGGATCTCTGAGTTTGAGGCCAGTCTGATTGACATAGCAAGCTCCAGACAATCAAGGCTAGATAGAGCCTGTCTCAACAACTGCAGGAAAAAATAAAATGGTGCACTCTAACCCACGGAATTCTACAAGTGAAGTAGAACCGAAGGAATCTTGTATTGTCTCATGTGATCTTATAAGAATTCATCTTTCCAAGAAAAAAAAAATAAAAACCTAATTTCACATCTTAGCTCTAGAAATACAGTCTTATCAACTATTATAAAATTTAAATTTCTTGTCATGTGGCCAAACCCAAATGACACAAGTGAAGTTTATTCATCTCTAGTCCTGAAAGTAATGCCGAGGAAAGACAGAGCTCATGCACTGACTCTCACAGGACAGTGACAGGACCCCGGAAATACAGGCTCCATTGTATCTTCATCCAGGAGCAGCCTCTAATACATTCACAGGACAGTTACTACAGTTAGTTACCGATGGATGGAGGTCCAAATTCTCCTGAAAGACTTCACACTCTTTACTCTTTGATCAAAGACTTTTAAACCACAGTCCTGGTTATTACAGGTATGATAAAGCTAAGAAGCTTAGTTTCCTTTTCAATCTGATTTAAACAAAACAAAACCACAGTAAAGAAAGTGTAATCCTTGGGCTGGAGAGATGGCTCAGTCGTTAAGGGCACTGAATGCTCTTCCAGGGGTCCTGAGTTCAATTCCCAGCAACCACATGGCTCACAACCATCAGCAATGGAATCTGATGCGTTCTTCTGGTGTGTCTGAAGACAGCTACAGTGTACTCATATACATAAAATAACAAATAAATCTTTAAAAAAAAGTGTAATCCTGAGTGTTCATATCTGTATTTGAGAGCCACAGCCCCTTTAGTTCCTGGCCAATACTGCTGTGTTTGGACATCAGAACCTCTCTTAGACATCTTCGTAGGCCCTTAAGAAATTCAGCTTGGCTTGTGATGTGTCTATCACACGGCAATGTACTCGGTTCATTCAGTTTATGTTTGCTGAATGCTTGCTATGCTCCAAGAATGTGTAATGTTAAACTGAGTAAGAAATTCAACCCTTAACAAATTCACAGTAGGTCAAGAGAAATCTCAACTGGAACCACAGCTTTGAAAGTGCTGAATCCACTGGGGACAGTCACCAAACACAAGAAATTGGATGAGACAGGACAATGTCACAATTCAGGGACTAAAAGGGAATGGAAAGGCAGCCACAGGGATATCCATTTCTCTGTGTGTACCCTTGCCTTTCAACTTACCTCTGTGCCTTTTGGCTGGCTTTGTGGTGTCTTCTGGTTGCCTGTCACTGGGCCTCCAGCAGGAAGGCCTGGGAAGGTCTGCAGATAATGCTGCGACCCTGAGAAACCAGCTTCGCTGATGCTCACTGAGGCTGACTGCTTCTCCTGAGTGGTCCCACGCCCCGGCCCGGCTTGTCCAGCAGTGAGCTGGTGTGGGAAGAATGGCAACATGCCCAGCCCGGCTGCCAGTGTCGTCTGAGTTGGAATCAGATTAGACGCTGTAGTGAACCACAGAGGCAAAAGAACCCTGGTTACACAAGACACAGAAGTCCTTTCTGTACCTATCAGAGGTCTGTGAAATCCAGCAGGTAAGGTCAGAGGTTATAAATCCACAAGAAAGCAAAATTTGACATTAATAATGTTTTTTAAATTTTCAATAATTTCTACGATAACCTCGATTTATATCTTTTTTTTTCTTTCCGAGACAGGGTTTTCTCTGTATATCCCTGGTCGATATTATATCGTAATGATACATTTTAATTACTATTTTAGGAACTTATATCTCTTTTTGACATTTAAATTATACCAGTACTTAAAAATATCCAATCATTGCAATTTGGATGCTTCCATATTTGGAGAGAGTAACTGGGTCTCCTGTTTAAAGAGTTCTTCAGCATTTCCTAAGGTTAACTTGGATTCAGAAGCAAGCCTGGAGAGCGGGCCTACATCAGCTGTTGGGCACCTGGCCATACTCATCTCTTTTCAACTTGAGTGCAATGTCTTTACACTGGCATCTTGCACTTGGCAATGGTTTGAGAAAAGAACAGAAATTCACAAATAATATAAATTAATATGATTTTTAAGTGGAAAAATCTGGTATTAAACACTACCGTCGCCTTTGAATCAATACTCAGGAATAAACACTAAATCAACAAAGAGTTATGCGTTTTTATTTATAGGAAGAAAAATCCTGAAATGATTAACATTTTTCATAGGAAAATGAGGCTTGATTTTTATTTTAAAAATCTTTTAAGACAGGGATGCTGAGATAGCTTAATACAGAAAGGTGGTTGGCCCCAGCCTGGGTTTAAATCCTGAGACCCACAGGGTAGGAGAGAACCAACTCCCACAAGCTGTCTTCCATCTAACACTTGCATACCACAGCACGAGTGTGTCCTACCCTCTCTCAACCAACCAGTCAATGTAATTTTAAAATTAAAAAAAAAAAATGTCAGGCAGGCATGGTACTATGCACTCTCAACTATGCTGGGGCTAATGCAAGACCATTGCTTAAACTCTTAAGTTCAAGATCAGCCTGGGCAACATAAGACCCCATCTCAAAATAAAAGAAAACACAGTAAAAAACAAAACAAAAACTTATAACAAGAGGCCAAAAAAGAAACTGAAATAGTTATTTTTGATGTAAAATTTCCATCTTACAAATTCACTAAACAGGATTGTAAGCTGGTTGAGTACTTGCTTAGACTCCTGTATCTTTTAGGATATATTTATTTAGATAGTGAATTGTCAGTGTTCTTAAAATAGCACGTGAGATAGCAAACTGCATATGATCTAACATTAATATGAGGAATAAACATTTTCATAGTTTTTAGTCATGGAAAGTCAAAGTTTTTCGAAATAAGAGACTCCCATCATACCAAGGAAATCTTTGGCGACTTAATCAGTGCCTGGTCAACTTCAACAGTCAAAACTGACTGAGTCATTTGGCCACTGGATTAACCAATGTAAGAGACTAGATGTGTGGCGTATATTCAACAAACTGAAGTCATTAGTGGAGTTGTTTACATCACGTTCAATAAGCTTCAAACTGCATGTGCGTTTCTAAATTACAATAAAATAAAAATCCCTAGTATATTTCTATTTTATTCTAAAGTAAAAATGTTCTGCCTATCACGTGCTCAGCGCATATGTGCCCGTTTTCTTCCAAATACTGATTTAAAAATACAATCTGAAAAAGTTTCAAGTCAACAGGACTTAAATTTACAAATGCTAGCTCTTTCTTTTATAAGAGCTGCTGGGGGCTCCTTCTTCGGTGACATTGAAATGCATACATGAGTAATGTGCTGTGAGCCCGAGGGGTGGCACGTCGGCATCAGATGGAGCTGTGTCTTCTCCTGGCTCTGCTGTGAACCTGAATAAAATATTAAAGCTTATCCAGCAGGGACCGCCTCCTCTTGGCATGGAGGCAAACCCACTAACAACATATCAATATCAAAACCAGATGAGGCAATGAGGCTCTTTAAATTTTAAATGACCAAGATTCAAATTTAATTATAAGTAAGAGAGGAATATAGGTAAGCTATCTTGAAGCCTCAAAGCCGACTGCATAAGGACTACTTGGTAAATGGGTTACTTACTTTTGTGTGGTTCTCCATGGTGTCCCAGATCTGTTTTCAGTGGAAGCGGTGGCCCTATTGCCAGAGCAGGCTGCAGCACCATGGCGGGAGGCTCTCCCAGCAAGCCAGGCTTCTACAAAAGGGGAGAGAAGAAGACAGTTTCCCATAGTGGACAAAAAGAAACCCCACGAAACAAAAGATCCTAGTGAAGGCGGTTGCACATGTGAAATGTCAACATGTCATCAATGGGCTGAGACTATGAAAGGGATGAGATACTTACATTATTAGTGTGGGCATTGTCAAACTTCATCAACTGTTGCTGTATCAAGGGTAAGGGAGAAAGATTCTGAAGGAGTAAGGACGATGTATTACCCACAGCTGAACTCTGTGGAATTAATGAGACATCAAGTTACATTCGGAAGAGTTATTTGTTCTATAATCAACTCATCTTAAAGTCCAATTCTCAAGTTAGTCTGAAAAAGAAGAAAGTACTTCTTAGCCAGGTGGTTAGCGCACGCCTTAAATCCTAGCACTTGGGAGGCAGAGGCAGGCGGATCTCTGAGTTTGAGTCTAGCCTGGTCCAGAGTGGGTTCCAGGACAGCCAGGGCTACACAGAGAAACACTGTCTTGAAAAGAAAACAAAAACAAAACCTTCATAATTTGTATTAATCTATCTTCCCCTTCAGAGTACCCTCTAATCTGCAGTTAGAAGACCCACTTCACATCCTTAGTTAGCCTTTCCTCCCCTCACCACCTTCCTGGCTTTAATGATAGTGAAATATGAATTTATTTATTGATTTAATCACTTGACAAGATTTGTTGTACTCTTTTTACAAATAGGGTAATGTTCTACCTAGTGAGAAATGCAATATGATTTGCCCTGTGTATCATGCTCCTGGAAAGGACTTTAAAAAACAGATCCCAAAGGCAATTCTATGAGGAAAACTACACACAGATACGTGGGCACACACACTGGGGAATCTTATTTCGACTAAAGAGTCAAGGGGGGGCTCTCTTGAGGACCTAGCATGTGTCTTGAGGTCTGAAGGCTGTTTAGGGCATGTCTGGGTCAGTGTGGTCAGAGGACAGTCCTAGTCAAGGAGACGGACCCTAGAGGAGTGAGCAGGTCCTTCTGGAACAGTCAGATGTAATGAGCTCCGGATAGAGGCATTTGCAGGCCTTAACAGCTAACACTACACTTCTAGTCTTTCTCCTAACACAGTGGCTCTCAACCTTCCTAACACTGCGACCCTTTAATACAGTTCCTCATGCTGTGGTGACCTCTGACCAGGAAATTATTTCACTGGTACTTCATAACTGAAATTTTACTGTTATGAATCATAATGTACATATCTGATAGGTAGGATATTTGATATGCAAATCCTGTGAAAGGGTCACATGACTCTCAAAGGAGTTGCAACCTCCAAGCTGAGAGACACTGCCCTAACAGGATATAACCAATGATCTGAATGTCTTTCCTATCCCTGCTTATACTTGATTATAACTAACGTTTGTTTTCCCTACTGTCTTGTTATTGGGTTTTTACTGTTGTTTTGAGACAGAATTTCACTCTGTAGCCCAGGCTGGCCTGGAATTTACTATGTAGTCCTGGCTAGTCTTAAATACAGTAATCCTCTAGGCTTGGCCTCCCCAGTGCTGGGATTACAGATACAGGCCAGCAGATCTGACTCAAGCCTTCATACTCTTTAAGAGACTAGGAAGATGGGAGTAGAGAAGAGAGCATCCCCAGAAGCCTGAGAGCCCGCTAGCCTGGCATGTACAGCAGCAAACAGCACGTACCGTGCCTCACACACGGTAGAAGGCAAGGACTGACACCCAAGGCTGCCCTCTGACCTCCACATGTACACCCACGGCACACATTCTGTCTGTCTTGGCCTGCCCCAACACACAGATAAAAACCTATTCATTATCTCGCAAAAATATATCACAAAGTAAGTATTCTGTTCTTAATCCTCTACAAACATGAGTTGGTAGGTTTATCTACCTGTGCTGCTACCATTAGCAAGATTATGAACACTCTGCTTGTGACTGTATGCAGATATTATAGCAATAGTCTCTGCCAGATTTAGCTGCACAGGCCTACGGTTCCAGCCACTGAGGAGGCTGAGGCAGGAAGATGCCTCATTCAATGGTCTACCCGCCTATAATATGAGTTCAAGGCCAGCAATGGCAACTACAGCAAGATTCTCTGTCAAAATCAAAAGTTAGAAGAAAGCTGGAGATGTAGGTCAGCAGTAGAGCACCTGTTAGTATCAATAAACTCTAGAACAATCCCTAGACCACAAAGGGTGGAAGGCAGGTAAGATATTTTTTAAAAAGCAAAATGCTCAATTAACTTCTTGATGAGGTCTGGCACACTGGTAAATTCCAGTCCTTGGGGGATGGATACAGGAGAATTAGAAATCCAAGATCACCCTGAGTTACATAAAATTCTGTCTTGAGGGGTTGGGAGAGATGGAAGTATCCACTCCAAATCGCCAGGGCTTCAGTACCCAATGCTATGTACTCACCTGCTGTGCTTTACTGAAGTGTAAGAGCGCAGAGGGAAGGGATGGACTCAGCAGATGAGGTAAGCTGGGCGCGACTCCCAGAACTGTAGAGAAGATCAGTCCGTCAACATAGAACCATAACCCTGTGACGTAAACTCAAAATACAACATGTTCCAAAAACATTTCTCCTACACCCTTTAACTTGCACAGGAAGCTTCATCATCTGCTGTAAGAGTGGCAGGCTTCTTTCCTGGTGACTCTGGCACTTTCTGTCTTTAACTGTCAAGCACCAAACACAGGCTTGACTGTCTCTCTAGCACTCGGCACAGCTTGCCTCATCTGCTGGCAGCACAGTATTAACAGAGGCCTTGGTTACTGCTCGGTGCCCTTTTATCTTACATGCGGGCATTCTGCCTGTTCATATGTATATGCACCAATGTGAGTGATGGATGCCCAAGATCAGAAGAGGATGCCTTGGAGCATGTAGTTACCGCAGTGTGGTGTTGGGAACCGAACCTTGGTCCTCAGCAAGGACAACAAATGCTCTTCATCGGCGAGCCATTTCTTCAGTCTTCTTTGTGTTACGTATTTGGGAGATTTTTGTCAGAAGGAAGGGCAAGAGTAAAGATGCAACCCTCAACCCTAAAATCTTATGGAAAATCCTTTAGAGAAGATAATCTATGCACAGAAATTCTTACATCATAAAGCTAAAAAGATGCAACATGACTAGACACAACAGGGCAGTGGCATGTGTCGTTAACTCTAGCACTTGGGAGGCAGAGCCAGGAAGATATCTGTGAGTCTGAGGCTAGCCTTGTCTACTCAGCAAGTTCCAGGCCAGCCAGGTATAACACAGTGAGACCTTGTCTCCAAAGAAACAAACTGTGCATAGAGATAAGAAGAATGAAGAGTAACTACACTCTTTCTGAGTCCAAGCACCACGGACATTTCGGAAGAGATATTTTCAGAAGAGATATTTTCAGAATAGGTAATATACAGAGATACAGAACCATGAAATAGAAAACACGGGATTAATTTTGCTTAATTATTGTTATGGAAAAATGATATCTACTATTGTAATATATCACAAAGTAGCATTCAGAAAAGGTCACAGTAGAGGCTGGAGAGATGACTCAGAGATTAAAAACACCAGTTGTTCTTCCAGAGGTCCTGAGTTCAATTTCCAGCAGCCACATCTATGTTCTCTTCTGGTATATAGGTATATATCCACATAGAGCACTCATATATATAAAATAAATAAATAAATCTTTAAAAACAAACAACTGAAAAGGTTGCTATACCTTTTCATAACGTAATGGAACAGAACAACACAAAAGCATGCCTGTATTCCCAGTTAGGTAGTGAGTCCCTATCTCAAAACCAAAACATAACCAAGTTAACACACCAAGTTAATATATGCCTGCTCACTCTACAGAAAGGTTCAAATTAAAAAGTACTATATACAGCATGTGAGCCAGGGTGCTAAGCCAACTGGAGTCTACAACTTAAAGGTACATCAACCTCATGACTCAAGTCATACCCGTAATAAAAGTAAAGGTGTAAATAAAGATAAATCTTCATTTACAAATTATTTTAAAATTAAAAAATATAACCTAAAAAATAAATCAAAACCGTATTCCTAATGACCACAAACGAATGCAAACATAAAACTGGAGTGGAACTACGGTGTCGGATGGAGTGACAGAAATAACAGTGGGGCAGAATTACTAAAGATGCCCATAATCCAAAGGTATGCATGACATTTCCCTGACAGACCCAAGAGCACAGTTTGTGTCTTTAAACATGAGAGTAATCTTCAACTGCATCAAGAGAAATCCTGTGGTCACAGGAACAAAAGAACATTGCAAATTGTGCCAATGAACACCAGCTTACAGGAGGGTGTCATGCCTAGGGACACCACGTTTAAGGACAATCTAGAAAATCTACATGTAACACATGTTGGGGGGATTGTTTTCCACACAGAAAAACTCCTATTAAAGTTCTAACCCCTAAAGGGGGACAACAGTTGAAATGTAAATAAATAAAATAACCAATAATATAAATAAATAAAAAGTTCCAACCCCTAAAAAGACCCAGCATGGCTGGGAAAAGGGGCTCCCAGAAGCTGTGAGTTATTAATAAAACCTTCAGTGCCGAGGGTAAGGTGCCCCTTTATGCTAGGTAGGGGTTTTTGGTATTTTGGTTTTGTTGTTGTTTAGTTGGTTGGTTGGTTTTTGTCTTGTCATCTAGACACATACTACCATCATCTGGGAAGACAGAATCTCAACTGAGAAAATGCTTCCATAGACTATCTTAGGGGCATGCCTGTGGGGCACTTTATTAGTCAGTGATTGATGTGGGCAGGCCCAGCCTAGGGTGGGTGATAGCACCCCTGGGCAGGTGGTGCTGGGTTGTATGAACAAGCAAGCTGAGAAGGTAGTAAGGAGCAAAACAGTAAGAACTCTCCTCTGTGGTCCACCCACACCTCAGCTCTTGCTTGAGTTCCTGCCCTGTCTTGCCCTCATGATCAACTGTGAGTGGGACCTGTAACCCTTCCCTCCCCAAGTTGCTTTTGGTCACTGTGTTTAGCCCAACAATAGAAAGCACACTATACACACTACATAGCCTGGATGCATGATATAAAAAAGAAAACCAAGCTTGAACTGAGTGGAAGCTTCATCCCTGCTGCTAAGTTTTCATAGTCCTGCAAGGTAAGTCCACTTGAGCAACGGCTGCACTTCTGGTATGGGGGTAACCAACAGTTCTCTGACTGGATCTGAGACTTGATGCACAGGAGGGAATCCATGCCTGTTACTATAAACCTGGTCAAAACCCATGGAGAGGGAGAGGAGAAGCCCTAGATCAGGAGCAGAGTATTGCTTTTTAGCAAATGTGTTGAGTTACCCTCTAAATATTTGTCTGTATTGATAGAAAAGTGCTGCTCTCAGATGTCATTAGAGAGGCCCCCTTCACGTGAACAGTGATGAATGCAACTCAGAGACTCATGGCCCCAGAAAGAACTGAGAGCACATGACTAATCAGTGCTCAGCCCTAAAAATGGCCTTTATACCATCCCCTCTAAGGCACAGGGAACACTGTGGGGAAAGGACATAAGAGCCAGAAGACAGAAAAGGGCTGTGTCACATCATCTCCTAGGCAAGACACAGCCATGACAATCACTATCTCACAGCAGCCATAAGGCCTGAGCTGGGCCAGCATAGGCATAGGCCCACCAACAATCAGGCACAGACGGAAGACAGGCCCAGGAGGTCTCCACTACCCCTCTGTGGTGGTTTGAATATGCTTGGTCCAGAGAGTGGAACTATTAGGAGGTGGCCTTGCTGGAGGAGGTGTGACCTTGTTGGAGGACGTGTCAGTGTGTCGCTGTGGAGGTGGCCTTTGAGACCCTCCTCCTAGCTGCCTGAGGACAGTCTGTCTGTAAGATATAAAACTCAGCAACTCCAGCCCCACATCTGCCTAGACACTGCCATGTTCCCTCCTTGATGATAACAGACTGAACCTCTGAATCTGTACACCAGCCCCAATTAAATGTTTTTTATAAAAGTTGCCTTGGTCATGGTGTCTGTTCACAGCAGTAAAACCCTAACTGTTCCACTCTTATTGCTGGACTGTTTGCTACTGATCCACTCAGGAAGGAGATTCACTATCCTCAGCTATGGACTCACTGGTTACACAATCAGGTTCAAATGGATAGTCTTATTCCGGTGGTCTCACAGGTGGCCCAAATAAACAGGTCATAAAACAAAACAAAAAGTCATAAGCTTGGGAAAGGGACTGGTGGGGATGGGGGTGGGTGACAGGGATGGGAAGGATATTAAAGGAAGCAAAGAGTAACCAGGATACCTTATATACCCACAATGTGAGAAATTGTCAACAACAATATTTTTTTAAAAATTCCCACACCAATGACCTGCTGTCGTGTCATGGCCTAATTGCATGAAGAATCCTCACACTCGTGTCTTAAGTTTGCTTATTCCTGTTAGATCCTTTCTGGTAAAATTATAATCATAAATATTATGCTTTCCTGAATTCTATAAGACATTCCAGAAGATTACCAAACTGAAGGGTCCTGGCAACTCCCAAATTTGTATAGCTGGCCGGTCAGAAGTTCAGATAGTCCTGAGAATCCTTAGCTTGTAGCCAGAGTCTAAAGTGAAGCAGCCACCCAGAGTATTGCACCCTTAATTTGTGTGTCTGTGTTGCTCAGCATGGGATTTGTGGGTCTGTGTTGCTCAGCATGGGAGCTGACATCAGGCCAGTTGGGACTGAACTGGAATAACCTCACTGAGGATGCTTATGCTAAATACATTTATCCTAAACTTTAGCCTTGAATACAGGCGTCATTTCCTCATAACACTAACACAGAAATCTTGTGAACATAAAGCTGTTTGTTTCAGAAGGAAATCCTGGAAAAAGAAGAGCAAATAGCTTGGTAGTCAGTATACAGTAATAACAAAGATCTGGGTAATCAGAGGACGGTGCTTCCGTCAGCTGCTGCAAAGGGAAACTACTTTGTCCTGAAGGACACAGAAAGATGAACATGAAACAGATCTGCATATTCAACAAGATAAGTCCACCAGAACAATTGCAGAGAAAGGCTCCACGCTCTTAGTTCATCCAGGCAACAGCAGGGTGGTATGTGCCATTATTACTGGGCCAACAAAGAGCTAAACTGCAGGTTTAATATTTAACATTTACTAATGGTACAGAAAGCGGAACTACAAAACTCGATTGTACCCGACAAACAGCCAAGGTGAAGTACCATCTCACGTAACTGACTAGTGATCATTAATAGTTCTGGAAAGGTGCTACACACGCTTACATGCATTTTCACATGCAATGCGTCTTTTTACATCTTGCATGCAATGTGGCATGAGCCACTTCATGCGACAGTCTGTGCTGAAGGAGGAGGCACGGTACTTACCTGGCTTCACGGCTCGTCCACATAGCTGGGGCTGCAGAAGAACTTGTAACATGGCAGGATTGTTTAAGCTCTTCAGAATCTGTACTGGATTGGGTTCTGGCAGTAACCCCTTCTGATTACTGTGCATCTTCAGCGTGGACAGAAAGAAACACCACAAGCATTAAGTGCAAGACAGACAGAGCCGAAAGGCGCTCCTCCCACATGGCACTCACCTTACAAACACACCTTGTTTTCTATCATGCACTTACCGAGTGCTTTCTACCACCTCTCTCAACTACAATGGTGTTATGTCCTGTGCTACCCACGACAGGCGGTCCTCATCTGACATCTGTCCAACACCAACTGTCTTCAAATAAACTAATAGTTTAATACCACAAGTCTCATTAAAAAACAGAAACAAGATAACACCAAGGAGTGATGGATTTCCTAGCAAGGTGTTAACTCACTGACACAACACTAGATAGAACCCCACGCTACAGGACGCCTTCTTAGACTGTTGATGGATTCAACGTGGGAGGATGTATCTTGACTTTCAAACAAAATTTTCCTATGCTGGAAGCTTATGTCATTCACTTAATCCTCTGCAGTGAAGTGGAGATGAACTAAGCTGCAGAGCTACCCAAGAATGTGAGTCACCTTTTAGTTTTCAAAAGCATTCCAAGAGCTGGTGAGATGGCTCACCGGATAACGGGCTGGTCATATAAGCAAGGACTGGGGTGTTCAGAGACCCCCAGAACCTGCGGGAAAAAGCTGGGTGTAGGGTCAGAGAGATGGCTTAGCAGGTAATGGTACTTGCCGCCAGCCAAGCCTAACAACCTGAGTTTGGACCCACATGGACCCACATGGTAGGACAGGACAGCTCATCAAAATTGTCCTCTAATCTCTCTAACACACAGGAGCCTGGATGTGCAAGCCCTGATACACACAAAGACTCTCTCTGTCTCCCCCCACCCCGTCTCCCCATCTCTCCCTCTCTCCCCCACTTCTCCCCCATCTCTCCC